TCACAATGTATCGCGTGCTGCATCAGTTTGGTCAGTGGTGCTATACGGCACGGAGACTTGGTCATCACGTTAAAAGATGAAAATAAACTCAGTGTTCAAACACCACTGTCTAAGCTGCATTGCACGAGTCTGGTTGGGAAACCAGACAAGCAATGCTGAGATCAGGCGCAGAATTCTAGGTAATCCCAGTCGTCCACTAGAACAAGTGGTCGACCTCCATAGATTACGCTGGTTACATAGGTCATCAAATAATATATATATATATATATAACACCGGCTTGAGAACAAGCATGGTGCCAACGCCACAACAATATTAACAATAACAATAATGGGAGGGGGGCGGGAGACTGAGTATATGGAAAAAACGGAATAACAAATAAAATGCCGTGGCGCACGTCGTTTGCAGGGACAGGCAATGGATGGAAAAAGTTCAAGGGCGGTCAAACTAAAACCTTGTATGAGGAAATGAAAATTCTAACCAGGAGACTCGGTCATATAGTATTGGGACCTCGTGATAACCGGTGATTAGAGACATTTATATGGGTGAGTGTCGTAGTGGCGCTCGTGCGTTTCTGGTTCATCTTTGAAACCCTTGTTTGTATGAATTTTGTATCTTCTTATTGAATCTACTATCTTATCCAACTGGGCAACCTTAAGATGTCAAACAAAGTCGGCGCACAAAGATGAATGATTATAAAAGTGGATTGTTGAAAGTTCGTTTAACCTGTTCAATCGCTAACTCAAAACAGTCTGGCACATATATCACAATTCGTTGGTCACTCACGATGAAGGGATGTGTACATGTAAACAGATTATCAAAACAGAACTGAAGGGTCAACTTCACGGTAAGTAGATTGACTGTGTCCCGTGTATAAAACAAGCGACGACCTGTGTTATCAATAAATTATCAAAATTGGCCACGATCATGCCATTTGATGAATCTTTCGGAACTGGGAGCTCAAAATTGATTGGGGGGGGGGGGAAGCCTAATAGTCTCGTTTCCATTTTCATAGTTTGCTCTGCATGTGCTAATTTGAAGTGTCGTGTAAATATAAACGGTTTGATTATTTATGTGGAGAAGGATTTGGCTCCGAATGGAGTGTAAACTAGGCTATTTTGTTAATACATTTTATATAGAGAACCTACCTAAAACAATTTTCAAAGTATTGGCAAGGTAAAGAATGATGCATATGAGACAGGTCTTCCTAACCGGAAGTTAGTTTAGTATCATTTGTTGTACTTGCTTTGGTGTTGGATAGAATGTATCAATGCATCAAGCTTGAATCAGCCCATTCGATTGTTCAGAAGTACCAGCCACTCTCTATGTTCTGGATGTGAGTTGCAATCCTTGGGAGATCGTTGATTCCCCATGAGGTAATGCATTTAAAACCGACGGAAATGTTTGTGATAACCGACAAAAAGCACCGGACAGCTGTTTCGTCCTACTTGAGACTCGTCATCATTGCGTACTTTTTGTGTCCCTGTACTGAGAAATTAACGATCTCTCAAGGAGTGAAACCCACACCCATGAACATCAAGAGTGCCGGGTGCATCTGAACAAACGAATGGATTAATCCAAGCTTGATACTCTAAACTGATTGAACCATTCGCACAAGGTGATGGCCGTCGACCGTGTAGCTCAGGGGTAAATTTTTGAAGTCCCAACCCGAATGTTCGCTTTAGATTCTTGACAGGGACACAAAAGTACACACTGCTGACGAGTCCCAAACAGGACGAAACAGCTGTCCAGTGCTCTTTTTCGTTTATCACAAAACATTTCCATCGGATTTGGGTGGAGTGAAATTTGAAAACAATATGCATACATGCACGGGGCTATAATTCGCCACTGAACTTGATTCAGCAAACTAGACTCAGTTCGTTCAAAATAAACTCCCGAAAAAGCTCTGTGCTGCATTTGTGTANGATCGCGCTCTGAAGATGGGACTTCCACAGACACATCAGATTGCGTTTGGAAAGTGGCAATTTCTCTTTTTGTAATTTGTTTATAAACTGGTATTTTTCAGAAAATAATGTGAGTAACTTCACGGCAGTTCGACAGCGCAATGTCAAAAATTCGTGAAGACGCTTCATCGTTTGTGTAGGGAGGTTCGCGGTGCGTCGGAAGGGCTGAACGCCGATTATCGGTATGAATGAGTGAACATGTTCCAGAAATCTTGTCACTTCCAGGATGAAAACGTTCAGCCAGCGCTGTGGACTGACGTGTGCTGGATACCGGACACTGCGTAAACAAACTCAAAGCATTCCGTGTTATCCTCAGAATTCGAAGTCCAAGGATGCTTAGGTTTGCCGAAGTGGTTGTCATTAGCCGTTTAAAAGACAGACAAATGCATGCAATAGGCCTTTGTGACGTAGCTGCTATTGTTGGTTATATTTCCTTTTCCTTCCCCACATGTCAGCCGTTCCCCTACCTCATCATCGACACTTCAACCTTCTAATTTTCATATTACGTAACTCTTTTCAACTCACTTAATTGACCAGATTTTAACTCCTTTTACCTTCCACTTCTGTTCGAATTCATTTCTGTTTGTATCTTTTTCGTATTACGTAGCCATGCTCAACTCCCTTTTTTCCACAGCCAATCGTTTTCCATTACGTAACTGTTTCTATGCTAGCATCCTCCTTTTATGAATCATTTTAATCATTATCCCCCATCTCGTTCACTCATCTCCAGATGCCTTTGGTAATGACTCAACAGTCCATTTTTCTCCGTGGAACCGATGTAACTATGTAAATGTCCAGATATGATATTCCTCTTATAACAATCTGACCTATTTAATGTACGTAGGTAGCTGATTGCGAGCACTCGAAATTGATGGCCAATATCAATACTGCTCATATTGTGTTATTTATTTGATTCAATTTAGTTATTCTACAACATTTGATAACTTACCCGTATATTATTACTGATGTGTCTTAGGGTAGCATGATGTCGTGGACTGTTCGCAATTTACGGCCCATTAGCGCTTCTGCAGGGGTTTTGCCATTCGGAGTTGAACGGTATGCTAAGAGGAACCGTTGCGGAATTTCATCTGTAGTCCCCTCCCCTCGAAGCTTTAGCAGGGCTCTTTTGAAAGTATCCACGAATCGTTCCACCTGACCGTTGGATTGTGGGTGATACGGTGGATTCCGAATGTGTTGGATGTGCCGCTGTTGGCAGAAATCTCGGAAAACAGCCGAAGTGAATCAGGTACCATTATCCGAAACGATCACTTCCGGTAGGCGATAACGCGGCGCAGACAAGAGACGGTATTACCAGCAGTGGGTGAGGGAACGGCGTAGATCTCAGGCCACTTGGAGTAGGCATCTACTATGATGAGGTAGTAGATAGCGTTTACTGGTCCCGCATAGTCAATGTGTAGTCGCTTCCATGGACCTGTAGGTACTGGCCACGCAATTGGTTGTTCTTTTGGTGGAAGTTTGGCAGCCTGTTGACACTGAGAACATTGCCGAACAATGGTTTCTATGTCTCTGTCCATGAAGGGCCAGTACACAGCTTCGTGTGATTGCCTTCATCTTGCTCATGCCGGGGTGGGTCGCATGGAACTGGCGGAGTACTCGTGAACGCAATGACGATGGAGTGACAACACGATTGGCGAACATGAGGCATGAGTCAACCACAGATAAGGATGCACATCGCATATACAACTGTTTCAGCTCGTCGGAGTTCACCGTAGGTGGCCATCCATAGTCCATGATATTGCTTATTGAACATTGGGGTCATTTGCCGAGGCATGCTTGATGTCCTCTGCAGTAACGGGAGTTCCCCTAATAGCGTCGTTCAGTACCCGATGTGTCAGCGTCGGACGTGATAGCTGCAATCATCATGTCTTCTGGGGTAGACGTCTGGTTTTGTGGGAGTCGTGATAATCCATCCGCTTGAATAAAGTCCTGCGTGTGGCGGAATTCTGATTGAGCGTCAGGTCGAAGTTCCAACGAGGCCTGAGCACGGGTGCATAGTCCGAGTCCGTCTTGGGAAACCTCCGGAAATGGCTCTGTCATTTGTTTTTCTATCGGTGAGTCGGATGAAGAGAGTATGTTACATATTGTGCTCAATTGTAAATCCCATAGATTGAGACGGCCGATCCAGTCGAGGCCCAACAGATTGAGTGGTTTATCAGAGAGATTACAGATGCCCTGCTTGTGTATGTCAGCAAATGCGATAGTACACTCAAACTGTGACAGGGCCACCACAGGCACTGGTGGCTGTACGTGTGGTTCGTGTCAATGTAGGACGGCCGATGGAGGACCACAGTTGTCTCGAAATAATAGTAATGTCTGAAGCTGTATCGAACTGTAGCCGTGCGGATATCCATTCATAGAAAGACAAACATATTGTCTAGGAGTAGCTTCATCTAAGGTGAAACGTGCGATCAAACTCAATGACTGATCTTCGAGTTTAGCAGACCTGTTGCGGGGTCTGATGTTTCGTTTGATTGATCGAGAGTTACCGCGATTCTTCCAGTTGTTGATCTGGTGACCTTTTTGCTGGTGCTGTGTATTACGGTTCCTACGTAGTGGACAAAATCGGTGTAAGTGCCATGCCCCACAATATTTACATGGCGTTGGCGGTTGACGATCACTGGGAGCAGTGGGGGGCCTGGGTCTCTGTAGGTGTTTCCGGTGTTTTGACACAGCGTGCAAAGTTGATGTGGGCTGATTTTGTTGCTGGATCATTGCCGAATCATGTTTTAGGTTCGCAATGCGCTCACATTCATCGATCAAGTACTGCAACTTTATATTTGGGTCTTGATCGATTTTCGCCAACAACCTGGTACGAACGTTTTCGTATCGAGGGGCTCGATGACCACAAATGAAAACAAGACATCGGAACTGATCTTCGGTAAGCGAACCCAGGCAAAACCGTTCACATTCTCTATTGACCAGCCCACTGTAGGTGACAAAATCGTCAGCGTCTTTCTTGTATACTTGGAGACAATTGAACCGAATATTGAATAAGGAAGCCGTTTGTCCAAATATCTTTTTGAGCGTTTTGACCGCATCGGTGAATGTCAGTGTTCGCGGTTCCGCCGGAAGTATAAAGTTAGATTAACGGACATGTTCTGCCGGACCCAATTTGCGTAACGGAAGACGAACTCGTGTGTCTTCATCGTAGAAGCCAAGCTCGACCCTAAATATGTCCTCATAACGTTTATACCATGATTCGAAGGAGACACCAGCCTCAGGATCATAGTGAAAATCTGCTATATTGCGGACAATATGGTCTGCAATGCACGAATCAGTGGGGGTTGATAATCCTGTACCAGCCAGGCGAGCAGTCAGCAACTCCATCAGGCGTAACTGAGCTTGCATCATGGCCTTGACGTCATCCGCGTTGGGGTTCTGCTTCGACATTGTGACACTCACGTCGCCAATTTGTTGTGTTTTGCGCCGCGTATATCCGTTGCCTACTATTAGGTCGCACAGCACTATATCGCAGGAGAACACCACAAGTGCAAAGAACACATGATATAGCACAGTAACAATAGTATCACACGCAAAATGAGAACAGCGGACTAACACTAAGTCTGTGAGCGGACGCTACCTAGGTGAAACACGGTCGGCTATCGATCTCTCAGGCCTCCCAAACAAGCGAAAGAGAAAACGGCTTCAGCAGCACGGGATTTTTAATGGCGTTGAGCACAAGTTACGAGTCGTTCGTGACAAGTCAATTTACAAGTTCATTCTGCTGCTTATATGTAACTGAAAATAACATTGATCAATGCAGGAAAAAGAAAGTAACAATGAACTGCATAGTGAGCAATGTTCAAACGGCCATAGGCTACGGATCAGACGAACGGAGAGAATGAATATTGCCGTACGACGCGAAATTAGTTTTGATCCGAGATGACCCAACTTGGGTTGAATGTGTTGTAACATTGTTTGATTTTGCTCACTGAATTAGCAAATGTGGGGTCGGGCTTATCGTGGGACGAATGGCGTTGATCTTCGTCCCAACAATTACCTAGAATGCGTTTGTACCTTGTTTCCGGCCCAAGCTGAAATGCCTTTCATTTATTGCTGAATGAAGAAACAGGTGAAACGATTCTATCTGTGCATAAATGTTTCCATCCGTAAAAGATAATCAAGTGAATGGAAACTCGTTCATGTATTCAATCATTCATGATACACTAACTAAACGAAGACTTGGTATTCCAATGGTATATTCACCTGGTTCCTGGAAGTGAAACGGAATTTAATCACTAGCGCACACTTTTTGAGGTGTGTGTGTGTGGGGGGGTCGGTTAATGCGCTTATTCTGTTCGCCCATGTCACGAAAATCTCGTTCACTTTTGATGTTTTTTCTCTGGTGTCTATGTAGGCGGAAGTTGGGTGATTTTGCACCCAACCGTTTTAATATTTTCTCGAGATAAGGTTCCGTACATTGGCTACGGTGAAAAACTCACGAGATGATAAACGGTATTGTGAACCTGACCGGTTTAGAATGGACCCTGGACATATAAATCACTGACCTAGGTTTGCATTTCCAACTGGTTAGGATCAATGGAGTGTAGATTTTGCACAACAGGGGAAGTGTTCGCCTTACCCGCGCAGGGTGGATACGGTTCACCTCAACTCAAAATTAGACGCGGAACCAGTTTGTGTACACCGGACAGTGAAAATAACGCATGCATGTTTCATTCTTATGAAAGACAAACTCCGATTTGAGCGAATTGAATTGCGTAGATTGCAGTAAAACGGAACTAAGTGTTGATCAGCTATCGGTGGGTACCTGTATAAGTGGATTTGCTCTCACCAAAAGTGTGTAGAGAATCTAGGAAAAATTGATTTGTGACAAATTTACCGACAAAGGTGCGAAATGGCAAGAAATAAGTCTGCATTCATCATTGAAGCGAAATGTGTCAACATGGCAAAAAATAAGAAATAGTGTATCCAGCCAAATGTTGAAATATATGATTTTCATGATTATTGCTCCACTCTACTTTCATAAAATTTCACCAGACGACGTTATGTATACACAGTCGTTGGATCTGTTACTCGTACTCCGTCATAGCATGAGATTGTTTGTAATAGATCTTCCTTCAGATTTCATCTTAAAGCACAATCTTCAGTTAATCCGGTCACTATACTCCCTGAAAGCACCTGACTAAGTCTTCGATCAGTAGTGCATATCCACTGTCCCCTCCGGGATTCGTACTACGGATTCTTCATACAGAAGAAGTGTTAAGGATGTTCCGACCAGCTAGCACCGGTCTACCGGCATTTCTATCTCGAGTTTGTTCAGACCTTACCTTCAATGGTAACTAATGTTTAGTTCACCAGCTTTGAAAATAAACACTGTGTGCCATCTATCAGCTCCAATCTAAAACTTTCCACCCGATCTGCTTTATATGCACTCACTTGCGAGTAGAAGTTCAGGATAATTTTCACTAATCGCAAGTCATTCATTTAAGAATATATATCTTTATTCTGTGGTGTCGATCGTGCTAATGGCACGTGGTTTGTGTTTTTGACTTCTGACACTGTCAATCAAGAGCATGTTTTCGGCAAATTATCAGCAATGCCATCTGCGATATTCCACCGGATCTTCTCCCTGTTGTTACTGCCGCTTCTCAGGCATATATAGCCGGTAATCGTTTATAAGATTTTGCCCGCCAAACCGATTCGATGCCTCCAGGGGCCTTCGGTTAAGTCATTCAGATACTACAATATTTTCGACAGGACGTTCTCTTTTTGTGGTTAAGCAGCATCGATATCATCTACAAACAAGCCGTTCAATAATGGACTGGTCAAAGGAGACCTATGTGAACAAAAGCATTCAGTGTTGCGAAGTAGATGTCTGCGAGGGTCAGACAGTCAGCCGCGCGCAAAATCAAGCATCTAATCAATGTTATGATTTCGGTGGACATAGCATCCGGAGCTCGGAAAGTGGGCCAAGCAAAAAAGTGCAGTGGTTGCGGTAGGATTAGTTACTAAATTAAACACGGCGAATCGAGAAGCATGGCCTGTATGTGTGTGAGAACACGGTATTTACAAAAAAACAGTCTTCCCCGTTGATCGTGAGAAATCAAGGTATATATTTTTATAACACTCCGTAAATAAACTCTTAGATCGACCATTATTATCCAGGTCGATAAAGCGACTCCTTAAATGATAAAGAAAGGGAGTGTTGATAATCTCATGGTTTGTGTAAGTACACCGACAGGGGGAAACACGTGACCGGTTACCTTCCGTTGCTTGTACTCCTGAGAAATGCTGTGTCCATAGGAAAGAATGATTGAAGTCAATTTACCGAGAACCAAATTGGGGGCTCACCGTTTCGTCAAAAGAAGGCTG